AAACTGTGTCTACACACGCCACACACACATTAGTTTATTATTTAATACATTAATTACATTTATTATGAATTATATTATTATTATTATTATTAAAAACAATGTAATTAAATGTCAGTGGAAAAGGCGAAGTGAGGGGGAGAGACTTGCAGAAAGGAAGAAAGAGCTGTAGTAAAAGGAACAGAGATGGACGGCAAGATTACTCTGAGGATCAGAGACGATGGTAGAGACTGAGCTGATTTCTCTATAGACACATTTTTTTATAGAAATGTGCGAGATGGTGAGATTTCTTCAGAATGGATGAGTCATGAATTGAACTCGGCTGTGTGGATCCACAAAGTGCTGAGCATCTCTGATCAGAGGCAGCGACACTTCAAACCAGACGCAGAGGGAGAAAAGTGACATTAAGATTCCTCAAACTGCGCTTGAGTGGGACAAACGAGACAGAGCCGAATTTGGAAATGGCAGCGCGAAAGCTGTGATTTAAAAAAATGTCTAATAAAAGGGGTTCGCTGGCAGGGTCAGAACAGTCCAATTAAAACCGCGCGAGGAGCGGCAGAACAAACGCGGCTCGTCCTGCAGGGTAGCAGCCAATTAAACGCGCCTGATCAAACGGCATGGGCTGCGGTGAGATCATACTCTCTGGCGCTCGGCAGTGCTAACGAGTTCCTGTGCCCAGAGTTTGAAGGAGGAAGGGTCACAGCGCGAACTCTGGAAGTGAAGGATGAGATTAGAGATGAGATGAGGTGAAGAAAGCAAGGCAAACTGACAAAGAGATACTGTCTACTTAGGCTTCTACCTTCTAATAAAGCACTGATTTAGGACATTCTTCATAGGCAGCAACTCAAATGCAGCTCCTCACACAAAAGACCCAACCCCAGATTGACTACAATTGAATTTTCCATTAGCATGCTACTAAGCTAACAGCACAACACTCTAATAATTATCAAAATACATAGCACACATAATTATGAGGTAAAATAATGTACTTCTAACCCTAGGCCTAACTGCTTTGCATCAATTTGATCTATCCACAAAAGATGACAAGAGTTTCCTGCTAACATGTTGCTAAGCTAAAATCACAACACTCTAATAAGCATCAAAATACATGGCACACACAATTATGTAAAAAAATACTGCACTTGTCACCCTAAAACTTAATGCTTTGCATCAATTTTATCCATCCACAAAAAGATGACACGAGTTTCCAGCTAACTAAGCTAAGCTAACAGCACAACACTCTAATAAGCATCAAAATACATAGAACACACAAGTATTAGCTTAAATAGTGCACTTGTAGCCTTAAACCTAACTATTTGTAATAATTTTATCAATCCACAACAGATTACACAAGTTTTTCATCAACATGTTGCTAAGCTAACAGCACAACACCCTAATAAGCATAGAAATACAGAGTAAACAAACATATTAAGTAAAATAGTGCACTTGTAACCCTAAACCTAGAATTTTTATCAGTTTTATCAATCCACAACAGATTTCAAGAGCTTTTCGCTAACAGGTTGCTAAGCTAACAGCACAGTACTCTGCTAAGCACAAAAATACATAAAATATTAGCTAAAATAGTGCATTGTAATCCTAGGCCTAACTGCTTTGCATCAATTTGATCCTTCCACAAAAGATGACATGAGTTTCCTGCTAACTAAGCTAAGCTAACAGCACAACACTCTAATTAAGCATCAAAATACATAGCACACACAATTGTGTGGTAAAATAGTGCACTTACGGCCTTAAACCTAACTAACAGATTACAAGAGTTTTTGGCTAACATGTTGCCAAGCTAACAGCACAACATTCTAATAAGCTTAAAAATACCTACAAAAACATATTTGGTAAAATAGTGCACTTGTAACTTTAAACCTAGCATTTTTCTCAGTTATATCAATCCATTCATTTGCTATCTTGTATGGACTTTTTTTTCCCCCACTGAGCCTGACGCAATGCATTCTGGGATTGCCTTATCCACAAAATATAGCCTGCACTACAGCTAAAACTAGGCAACTTTTACAAAAGCCTTCACATCTGGAGTTAACCTATGACGCCGTCTAAGAAACAGAAGGTATTGGAAAAGAGCTAATGTTTTGGGAAGGTGGTCTGACACCTTCGGATTTCGGGATTTTCACGATGCCAAACCCGTGGCTGTGCGGTCCAGCGTTCCCGCTCTGATCTTTTGTTGGCTAGCACTCTGAACCCAGCGCTCTCACAGTGTGTCCAGGGGCAAGCTAAGGCCAGACACACCTGAATGTGTAAAGAAGCGTGCGGCGTCTGACACCTCGCAGGAAGCGAGCAGATGGCGAAACCTGGGCTGCTGTTCGTGTTGGATTCTATGAAGTGCTAGCTCTGGGTCGCTGGTGGACAAGACTGCCAAGAAGGGCTGAAAGCCAGGGTCAGAATGAAAAGAAAAACAGCGAGGCTACAAGAGAAGAAAGCGGAGGTGGGGAAGCGAGGGTTCGCCACCCGTAGTGACACGGAGGAAGAGAAGCAGCAGCGATGGCTGCAGGTGTCTTCGCCTTGATTTTCTCCAAGACTCCTCCAATGACTCTCAGAGGACTCTGCGACACGGTGGAAAAGCAGATGGCACATCTTAAGCATTCTGCTCACCGCTCTTGTGGGCAGCCAGAAGGCAGCTAAAAACAAACCTAAGCCCCTGGAAAGAGCACCGGCAGATTTACAGCAAAGCCTTCCTGTGTTTTCTCTGCCGCAGGTGGGCGGACACACCCTGAAGACGGCAAGATGACTGGGTATTTAATGAAGTCACCAGCTTCAGAAGCTGGCCAGGGACAAAATGAAAGAGCCCACTGGAGACCACAAATTGCAGCTGCAATGGTGGATAGTTTAATTGATTTTGATTGATGTCCGTGCAGACGTTCTGGAGCAGAGGGGCTCTCATCTGGGAGCGAGCGGACACATGTGTCGTCATTTGTATAAGTGTGTATGGGGCCTGCTCTTCTGATAAGGTTCGATGTAAATGCGGGCCCACAGCAGATGGGGATGAGAGAGTGAAGGGGGGAGCAGCCGTTTTCCCCCCTAGTGCTACCTCCTGTGTTCCTTCCTGAGCCGCATGTGTCTTGCCAAAGCCAGGATTTTCATGTAAAACTGGGCTGCCTACAAAAACCCTCAGCTTGGGTTCGGGCCCAGGAAGAAGCCTGCAAGCTGCCTGCTCCAGTGCTCGGCATTGACAAATCAGATGGCTAGACATCAGCGCACGGGGAACAAACGGATAACTCGATGCTGAGGACGACAGAGGTTCTGTGATTGGCTAGGATGGATTTAGAGTTTCTGCGACAGTAAGATTGGGTCACATTCAAGTTAACCAGAGAACGCTGGTCAGTTTCTTCAAGGGTTTGCTGAAATGGTCCTGTAGGGCAGTGTTTCTCAACTCCAGTATTGGGGACCCACCTCCCAGAATGTTTTAGATGTCTCACTAATTAAAACATCTGATTCAACTCATCGGTTTGAATGGATACGCATCTAAAACATTCTGGGAGGTTGGTCTCGAGGACTGGAAGAGGATACACACTTAAAGCAAGGGGATCCAATTAAACACACCTAACCCAACTACTCAAGGTCTTCAGGATCACTACACTCTCAGAAAAAAAAGGTACCAAAGCGGATACTGGAATGGTACCCTAATAAAAGGTATGTACCATTTAGATTTAGACCTGTTAAAAGGGTACCACTGTATTTATTTATTTAGTCATTTAGCAGACGCTTTTATCCAAAGCGACTTACAAATGAGGACAATAAAAGCAGTCAAATCTAACAAAAGAGCAACAATATATAAGTGCAAATGATAAGTATCGGTTAGCCTAACACAGTACATGTAGCAAGGTGTATATATATATATATATATATATATATACACACACATACATATACATACATATATATACAAACCCAATTCCATAAAAGTTAACAGTGTCCCAACTTTTTTGGAATCGGGTTTGTATATATATATACATACATACACGTGTGTGTGTATATATATGTATACATGCATACATACACACACACACACATATATATATATATATACACATACACACACACACACACACAAAGATAAATATAGATAAAGTAGAATTAAAATAGAATAGAAAGTGCTAGAGTTACAGGGTCAAGTAAAGGTGGAACAGATGTATTTTTAGTCATTTCTTGAAGATGGTTAAGGACTCAGCTGCTCAGATTGATTTGGGTAGGTCATTCCACCAGGAGGGAACAGTTAATGAAAAAGTCAGTGAAAGTGATTTTGTGCCTCTTTGAGATGGCACAATAATACGCCGTTCACTTGCAGAACGCAAGCTTCTAGAGGGCACATAACTCTGAAGTAATGAATTTAGGTAAATGAGCCAGTGGTGGTTTTGTAGGCAAACATTAATGCCTTGAATTTAATGCAAGCAGCTATTGGTAGCCAGTGCAAATTGATGAACAGAGGTGTGACATGCGTTCTTTTCGGTTCATTAAAGATTAATCTTGTAGCGGCATTTTGGATTAATTGTAGAGGTTTGATAGAAGTGGTTGGAAGACCTGCCAAGAGACCATTGCAATAGTCCAGCTTGGATAGAACAAGAGCTTGAGCAAGGAGTTGTGTTGCATGTTCTGAAAGAAAGGGCCTGATCTTCCTAATGTTGTATAAAGCAAATCTGCAGGACCGGGCAGTTTTATCAATGTGGTCTGAGAAATTCAGCTTATCATCAATCACAACTCCAAGGTTTCTAGCTGTTTTTGAAGGAGTTATGGTTGATGAGCCTAACTGGATGGTGAAATTTTGATGAAGTGATGGGTTTGTTGAAACCACAAGCAGTTCTGTCTTAGCCAGGTTGAGACAGTAGTGACAGACTGTAGTGACAGATTTTGTAGTGTAGAAATTTCCAGGCAGATGAACTTTACAGGATAGTGGCCCTCTAGGGGCAGGATTGGAAACCACTGACTTTAAGGGTTAGTTCGCCAAAAAAAATTGTTGACCCATTTTATTTTAGTCTTACCTCTAATGATTGACAGCTTAGCTTGGACACTGATTTCGCCTTCGCTGTTCTCCGCCACACACTCATAGATGTTCTCGTCTCGAGGTGCCCGTAGAGGCTGGATCCTTAGGACGGCCCCCGCACCTTCATCAAACTCTATTGTCTGTGTAAGAGGAAAGAGAGTCGGTATATTACACTGAAATGGTAAAATGTCATTAACACAGTTGCCGGGTAGTTAAAAATCTGGCCTGAAGACACAACGCCTGTGAATTCAATCCTAGAATTGAGAGTTACCAATCCCAAGTGTCTCGAGAGTAAGGCACTTAATTCCTAGTTGCTCAAGGGGGAACAGTCTTGGTAAATGACATGTAACTTCCCTGCTGCAAAGTTTTGGATTGATCAACCGGCATCCCCAACTTTTAACCCTTAACCCTAACTCTTCTCATGTTTACATCAATTAATTTGGATAAAAATTGTTGCGCTCCTATTATAAGGCGCCAAAATGTCCTCCAACGTCTAGATGTTGCTATGAGCTCAAATTATGTAAGAGAGTTAACTAGGCTTCTGTGTTGCTTTCACATTTGATGTCATTGTAGCGAAACAGTCGCTAGAATCAATAGGGAATTACAAAGAGGAACGAGGCTCTTTGTAAGCCAGTGGCAAAACTCTCTTTCGTTTTTTGGGGGGTGAGTTTTCAAGGCTACGATAATGAGAAGCAGCCCAGTGACGGCACACTGTCCTAAGTGTGTGCAGATCAATATCAAAGCAAAGCCTTCAGGGGAAACAAATTAATTCAAACCCCTCACGAAATGACTTTTAAATGCAACCAAGATGATAATTTGAGTGTACTCTTGGGTTCATGCCGACGAGTGAATCGGATCCACCAACGTGTTTTTGTGTTGATCTTTTTTTGAGGGAAGTTTTTCATCTTTGTTGAATAGTGACAGCGTGGTTAAATGCGGAGCTAGTTTGAATTAAGATACACTAAACATTGATCAACACTACAGCTGCCAGCTGTGTTATGACAAAAGAACACCGCAAACAAGAAAGGAATATAAGACACATGCTAAAACCCACAGAAGCTAGGATATGTATGCTACGTAAACACTTGAGATTGAACCAAAAAACAATTCCAGATGGCATTTTGTGAAAAATACCACAGAAACAGCTGATTATTCAACTGATATACTGAATACGTGCTAGCATGCCAAGTCTCACCTCGATGCGTTGAGAGTTCACCCTCTTTCCTTTCTTATTCCAGGTTACTCTTGGCTTGGGGTCACCTGTGGCTTGGCATACGAAGGATACGACACCTCCGGAGACGCCGATCATGTCGACAGGTACTTTTGTGAACCTGGGTGGAGCTAAAGAAAAGGAAAATTTACGATTAGCATTTAGCTGTTTTGGCACCAAAACGCCTTACATTCTGGCAGTTTGGTCAAAAGAGTCAAGAAAGAGATAATGACAGCTGATATCACTTCCTGTTCAGACTGGAAATGCAAAGTCAAGTTAAATGCATTGCATTGTGGGAAAATAGTCTCTTGCAGTGTTTTGTGCACATTTTAGTGAATTTAGCATATCATACATTCAACGTAGACATAAAATGTTCATTATATACTGCATAAATAGTAAGAGTAGCATGCTGCTAGCAAGCTATAGTAAACAGTGAGTGCAGGTAAAGTGAAGCTAACCCAATTTGTCACAAGGCCACTGTAACAGCAAATCAATTAAATTAAATTACCAAGTGATTGAACACACCCACACACACACAGTTTAACAGTTACTCGCAGCGCATTCAACCGTAAAATAGCGAGTGAGGGGACTACGGCTGAAGTGAGCTAGCGACCCGTTCTGCTACGATAGAGATGTCGACAAGAAACGGGGGCCGCCATGCGTCGGCGCAAATGGAAAGTGGCTGTTTTTCAGCACGCCGGTAATTACACCACAGACAACGTGCACGTTGACACCACCCTGAATAATTTATTGGCCAATGAATAATAAAGTACCTACTACTCTGCCTTGATTTGAAAGCCCCTTGTCAGGTGAAGCATCCAAAACCCTACGCACGTTTCCCGTAAGACATGCCAGCTGTAAGCTAACGACATGCAGGACTGACAGTCACTGACGATAGATCGTGACATAGCTATTCCAGCTTCTGGAGAGCAGGAGCTGTCAACTTTTTTTTTACCATTACTGCTTGTTCTTTGTGGATTACACTACTTTTGGAAAATAGGAAATTGTCATTTTTTTCCTCAGAACCCAGCACAGTTTGTTCTCGGCTCATCAAATTATCATGTTGTCTACCTCAACTCTTCTCATATCATACATTCAATGTAGACATAAAATGTTCATTATATACTGCATAAATAGTAAGAGTAGCATGCTGCTAGCAAGCTATAGTAAACAGTGAGTGCAGGTAAAGTGAAGCTAACCCAATTTGTCACAAGGCCACTGTAACAGCAAATCAATTAAATTAAATTACCAAGTGATTGAACACACCCACACACACACAGTTTAACAGTTACTCGCAGCGCATTCAACCGTAAAATAGCGAGTGAGGGGACTACGGCTGAAGTGAGCTAGCGACCCGTTCTGCTACGATAGAGATGTCGACAAGAAACGGGGGCCGCCATGCGTCGGCGCAAATGGAAAGTGGCTGTTTTTCAGCACGCCGGTAATTACACCACAGACAACGTGCACGTTGACACCACCCTGAATAATTTATTGGCCAATGAATAATAAAGTACCTACTACTCTGCCTTGATTTGAAAGCCCCTTGTCAGGTGAAGCATCCAAAACCCTACGCACGTTTCCCGTAAGACATGCCAGCTGTAAGCTAACGACATGCAGGACTGACAGTCACTGACGATAGATCGTGACATAGCTATTCCAGCTTCTGGAGAGCAGGAGCTGTCAACTTTTTTTTTTACCATTACTGCTTGTTCTTTGTGGATTACACTACTTTTGGAAAATAGGAAATTGTAATTTTTTTCCTCAGAACCCGGCACAGTTTGTTCTCGGCTCATCAAATTATCATGTTGTCTACCTCAACTCTTCTCGGCAGGCCTCCGCTGGCGCTTGCTTTTTTCTCTGCGCGGGGCAGTAGGTCAAGCTTGACACAACAAGACATGAGAAGAGGCTCTCTAGGGGGAACACGTTAAAATCCAGAATGCGCACAGATATGAGGAGATGATCAAACGGTCAGGCAAGCACGGCAAATTAATTATTAACCGCTCGTGGGCAGGCAGGCGAGCCCCTGAATCTCCGGGTGCGGATAAACACACTTGAAGCGAAGTTCCAGAGAGTGGAGAGGATGAAGCCCGAGGACTTTCTGCTTCATTCTGAAGTCATTCTGAACACAAACGCACACAGGTTCGCCACTTTAGTTAGCATGAGTCATAATTGTTTGGTAGAGCAAAAACAAGACATCAAAAACACTATGGTTCTTTGAACCGTGAGCCCGGTGGAACAGCTCCGGTGAGATTTTCAGCATGTCCTTCTGTAGCAGACGGACACTGACATTTCAGGAAAAAATTCAATAAAATAAAACAACAATTTTATTTTCATCATTTTATTTTAATACATTGTATTATTCTAATTTTAAGGATTTACCGCATTGTGACATTGTTTTCATGATATTTTCCAACCATTACAGTATCATAAGAAAGGAGAATCACTATTAAGAATTATACAATAATTGCAAAAACAACCTCAGAAGTAAAACATCTGTACAAGAATACAGTATGTTCGGGGGAGGCTGGAATTGGCTGAATTATTATAAAAATAATAATTAAAAAAATGGGGGTAATTAAAATGCACTTCTATATTGTGATATTATAGAAATAATAAAAAGTAAATGAAATATAATAATATAGAAATAATAATAAATAAAAAAAACGTATAAAATGTAAAAAATGTAAATAATGAATAAAATATTCAACTAAATAAAAAGTTTGTCAAAAGGAACTGCGCTGGCTTGAGAAATCCTGGCAAAAAAAGTTTGAACGTTTTAAAATCTTGAAGTTTGAAACAGTTAATTTTAAATAATAAAAAGTATATATATATATATATATATATTAGGGCTGGGTAAGTTAACACATTATCGCGTTAACGCATTAATTAATTAACGCCAACAATTATTTTATCGTGCATTAACACAGTTTTTATTATTATTATTATTATTATTATTAGGGATGCACCGAAATGAAAACTCTGGGCCGAAACCGAAACCGAAAACTCTGGATGCACTTGGCCCGAAAACCGAAACTGAAACCGAAAATGCTTTGTAATGATTATTTATTATTTTATTAAATAATATCAAATCATTTTGTAATACTTTTTAATTGAACTCAATAATTTTAATGATACTAAATAAAATAAAAAACAAGCCAATAAAATAACCACATTTTACTGAAAGTAACACAATAAAACTGGACATAATTTATATTAATATTGGTAACACTTTACAATAAGGTTCATTAGTTAACATTAGTTTACTACTTTAGTTAACATGAACTAAGACTGAACAATAGTTCTTTAGCATTTATTAATCTTAGTTAATGTTAATTTCAACATTTACTAATGCATTATTAAAATCAACAGTTGTGCTTGTTAACAGTTAATGCACTCTGAATTAACATGAACTAACAGTGAACAACTGCATTATTAAAACTAACATAGAAAGTTGAATAAATACTGTAATAAATGTATTGTTCGTTGTTCATTCATGTTAGTTAATACATTAACTAACATTAACTAATGGAACCTTATTGTAAAGTGTTACCTTAATATTAAATATCAATATATTATTTTTATTCACTTTTATGTAACAGAATCAGATATAAGTTTTTTGTTTTGGACTAATTATCCAAACAATGTATAGTCCTAAGCTATTATTATCAGCATGTGAGCAAAGCATAGCATCACTGAAAGCATCATTTTACCAGCGTTGTCCAGTACAGCTGAACTACAGCATGTTACAGCACAGTAGCGCTACTGCAAACAGGAACAAGTATACTGCATAGAAATTTCCTGTCACCACGTTATTTGAGCGGACTTTGCTTTTCTGGTGAGCGTGAGCGGTACATGAGCACATTCATACGAGGAGAGTGAAACCTTCACACTGAACACTGTCGGGCGGGGCTCCGTGTTGCCCAGTGACAGCCCCACAACATTACTGCTCTAGAGGAGATCTGGATGGAGGAATGGGCCAAAATACCAGCAACCGTGTGTGAAAACCTTGTGAAGACTTACAGAAAACGTTTGACCTCTGTCATTGCCAACAAAGGGTATATAACAAAGTATTGAGATGAAATTTTGTTATTGACCAAATACTTATTTTCCACCATAATTTGCAAATAAATTCTTTAAAAATCCTACAATGTGATTTTCTGGATTTTTTCCCCTCATTTTGTCTCTCATAGTTGAGGTATACCTATGATGAAAATTACAGGCCTCTCTCATCTTTTTAAGTGGGAAAACTTGCACAATTGGTGGCTGACTAAATACTTTTTTTCCCCACTGTATATTATTATATGTATATTTTCGGCTGTTTTTCTCTTTCAGCCGAGAAACGAAAATGCCATTTTCTATCACTTTTGCTGCTTAAAAAATGTTCATGCAATAATGCTGCACGGAGCGATCACACTAGTCAAACCGGACTTTGGGGGTCAAACGCACTCGGGCACAGTTAAGATTGCCTAGTGTGAATACACACTTTTATTCTCCCACCCACACCCCCATCAAGTCTTGTCCCGTGCCGCACATTTCTTCTCGGAAGGTGCCTGTTATAATGTTATGATCGAGGCTCTGGACTCTGAGCACAACTGGTTTTTCCACAACAAACTATAAAATATTTTCTATAAACACGTTAATGCCCTGACAGTGGCAAATAGCTTTGGTTTTATATTTAATTTGATTACATTAATGTTTAAATTGAGATTTACAAGAAATATTTTAACTGCTACTATGTAAAAGGAATAGTGCAATAAAAAAAGCACCTTATTTGTTTAAAGTGTTTGCAAACCAAATGTTACTGTACTTTTGTTCATATAGCAGTACTTTTAAATGAAACAAGTGCACAATACACTACTTTTGAATTATTGAATTTTGCGCATGATGCGATTAATCACAATTAATCGCAGAAAAATCATGCGATTAATCGCGATTAAAAATGTTAATCGTTGTCCAGCACTAATAGATAGATAGATAGATAGATAAAAATGTTTGTAAGAATTTTATAAAATATTAAACATCATAAAAATCGAAAATATCTTTGTTAAATAATAAATAAAATATTTAACATTAATAAGAATACAAAAATAGGTGTGCAGTGACTATTTATAGATTGGGCAAGAACATGTTG